AAAAAACACTCGTTTTTTGACTCCGCGGGGAGATGCTCAAAAAGCCGCCAAAAATCGCCTGAACAACTCCGGAAATCCTTCGCCCCTTATAAGGGCGGGCCCAGCGCAAAAGTATAGCGCATGGTCGGCGGTGGGTCGGCGGCACAGGGCGGCCGGCCCTACACCTGAAGGTAGGCCCTGCGGGCCTAGGCCTTCGGCGATGTCACGGACCACGGGGTCTGAAGCCCCCGGTGGCCGGATTTAAGGGCTGCCGCCCAGTGCCGCCGACCCTGGATTTAGTTGGTTTTGGAGCCACAAAAAACAGTGCCCTTGGTTTTGGTTTCTTTGGTTTCTTTTGGGTGAAATGTGAGTGGCCCCAAAAGGCTAATCTTGTATTTCAGGGTTTTGTTTGCATTTTTGAAGACACGAACAGGGACTGTGACTTGCTGGGCAACAAATGATCCCTGTCATGATCACTATCATCGTAGCATCCTCTGCATTACCAAGGGTGCCTAGCGATGATCATGACTACGCATCACTATCGAAACGGCGCCTCGCCTCAGATGCCATTTGTGTCATTGAGATTTGGAGTCCTGCCTTGATGATAATCATCACTACGCGATGATAATCATCACTACGCATCATTCGCAAATGAGATGATGATGAGCATCATGATGATGATGAGAAGAGCGATGACATCATAATAAGGATGATCATGATGATGATTATGATGATAACTATCATCGTAACACCCTTTGCATCACCAGTACTGCCTAATAAGAGATGAGAATGACCGTGATGATAATGATGACAAGGATGAGGACTGTGATGATAACTATCATCGTAGCATCCTCGGCATCACCAGTGCCGGCGACTAAGAGACGAAGATGACCATGATGATTACGATGACAAAGATGAGGGCTGTGATGATATATATCATTGTAGCATCCTCGGCATCATCAGTGCCGGTGATGATAAGGATGAGGACTGTGATGATAACTATCATCGTAGCATCCTCTGCATTACCAATGGGGTCTAACGTTGCTTTTGAAATGCAAATAAGAATAAGAATGAGAATAGGAACAAGAATGAGATGATGATGATCATCATGATGATGATGAGAAGAGCGATGACATCATAATACGGATGATCATGATGATGATTATGATGATAACTATCATCGTAACACCCTTTGCATCACCAGTGCTGCCTAATAAGAGATGATGATGACATCCTCGGCATCACCAGCGCCGGCTAATAAGAGATGATAATAACCATGATGATAGTGATGATAAGGATGAGGACTGTGATGATAAGTATCGTCGTAGCATCCTCTGCATTGCCAATGGGGTCTAACGTTACTTTTGAAACGCATATAAGAATAAGAACAAGAATGAGATGATGATGATCATCATGATGATGATGATGAGAAGAGCGATGACATCATAATAAGGATGATCATGATGATGAGTATGATGATAACTATCATCGTAACACCCTTTGCATCACCAGTGCTGCCGAATAAGAGATGGTGATGACCGTGATGATACTGACGACTGTGATGATAACTATCATCGTAGCATCCTCGGCATCACCAGCGCCGGCTACTAAGAGATGATGATGACCTGATGCTAGTGATGATAAGGATGAGGACTGTGATCATAACTATCGTTGTAGCATCCTCTGCATTGCCAATGGTGTCTAACGTAGCATCCTCGGCATCACCAGGGCGGCCCGAGACTTACCCCACGGGCCCAGTATCCCTAGCACTCCTTGTGCCGAAAAGTAAGGGGCTCATTTTTTGAGATAGCGCCCCCTGCGCCCAAGCCTAAATGAGTCCCCTGTGTGGCAGCTACAATGGGCCAGAGCGGGGCGTTAAGCCCCAATCTTCAGGGGCCGGGGGGGGCAGTCATCATGATCATCATGTCCACGCAGCTTTTGCATGTCAAACCCTCTCTAACGCCACAATTGAAACGTATATCAAAAAATAAGGATGATGACGAGGATGATGATGTTGAAGGATATAGAAATAGTGATGATGATGTTGACGATAAGAATGATGAAGGATCATATCGATGATGATGATGATGGGCATCCGTATGATGCCAGTAGTCATATGCTTGCCTCAAAGATTAATCCATGCGCTTGTACTGCAACCACCCTTCCCGTGCGCCTCCCCCTTTGAGGAGAAGGGGTCGGCGGATAAAGTAGCCAGCCAGACTCGCAGCAAGGCAGTGAAGCGCTCAAGCCCGCGCGAAAGACTACCGCTGGCTCATGTCGCTGCGCTGCTGCCAAGTGCAGAGTGCAAACCTTCAAAAAGGAAACGTCATTTCCAGATCTCTCGCTGTTCTAGAGTGGAAACTTGCGCGTCACTTTACAGTCTGGCTTGTAAGCCAGTGCCCGCGAAGGTTTGCAAGGGAAGCTTGACCACACACTGTTGAGCAAATCCGGCGCTTCTCTATCTCTAATTGAGACAGGTTCTCAAAGACCAGCCGTTTCTGTTTATTTCGCCCTAACAAGCTTGAAAACACGCACGATTGAAAATCGCCGGCCCTCCTCTGTCTCTCATTAAGGCTGGCATCAAGGTCACAAAATCCAGCCGTTTCTGCTTATTTGGCCCTAGAAAGCTTGAACACACACACCGTTTGAGAAAAAACGGTTGCAACAATACACCTGGCTCGAGAGGCGAAATGCGAGGTGCGAGATGGACCCTGAATTGTGCGAGGTAGATTTCTATTTTTTTTTTTATGTTTTTCTCTTTTGCCCAGATTTATGCATTTCATTCCATTTCATTCCATTTCATTCCATTTCATTCCATTTCATTCCATTTCATTCCATTTCATTTCATTTCATTCCATTTCATTTCATTCCATTTCATTCCATTTCATTCCATTTCATTCCATTTCATTCCATTTCATTCCATTTCATTCCGTTTCATTCCATTTCATTCCATTTCATTCCATTTCATTCCATTTCATTCCATTTCCATTTCATTCCATTTCATTCCATTTCATTCCACTTCATTAATTTTCATTCCATTTCACTCCGTTTCATTCCATTTCGTTCATTCCATTTCATTCCATTTCGTTCATTCCATTTCGTTCATTCCATTTCGTTCATTCCATTTCATTCCGTTTCGTTTATTCGTTGATTCGTTGATTCGTTGATTCGTTGATTCGTTCATTCGTTTATTCGTTCATTTGTTCATTCGTTCATTCGTTGATTCGTTGATTCGTTGATTCGTTGGTTCGTTGGTTCGTTGATTCGTTCATTCGTTCATTCATTTCATTCATTTCATTTCATTTCATTTCATTTTCATTTCATTTCATGTCATGTCATGTCATGTCATGTCATGTCATTTCATTTCATTTCATTTCATGTCATTTCATGTCATTTCATGTCATTTCATGTCATTTCATTTCATTTCATGTCATTTCATTTCATGTCATGTTCATTTCATGTTCATTTCATGTTCATTTCATGTTCATTTCATGTTCATTTCATGTTCATTTCATGTTCATTTCATGTTCATTTCATGTTCATTTCATGTTCATTTCATGTTCATTTCATGTTCATTTCATGTTCATTTCATGTTCATTTCATTTCATGTTCATTTCATGTTCATTTCATGTTCATGTCATGTTCATGTCATGTTCATTTCATGTTCATTTCATGTTCATTTCATGTTCATTTCATGTCATTTCATTTCATTTCATTTTCATTTCATTTCATGTCATGTCATGTCATGTCATGTCATGTCATTTCATTTCATTTCATGTTCATTTCATGTTCAGTTCATGTTCATTTCATGTTCATTTCATGTTCATTTCATATTCATTTCATGTTCATTTCATGTTCATGTCATGTTCATGTCATGTTCATGTCATGTTCATTTCATGTTCATTTCATGTTCATTTCATGTTCATTTCATGTTCATTTCATGTTCATTTCATGTTCATTTCATGTTCATTTCATGTTCATTTCATGTTCATTTCATGTTCATTTCATGTTCATTTCATGTTCATTTCATGTTCATTTCATGTTCATTTCATGTTCATTTCATGTTCATTTCATGTTCATTTCATGTTCATTTCATGTTCATTTCATGTTCATTTCATGTTCATTTCATGTTCATTTCATGTCATTTCATTTCATTTCATGTTCATTTCATTTCATTTCACTTGACTTCACTTCACTTTATTCCGTTCCATTCCATTCCATTCCATTCCATTCCATTCCATTCCATTCCATTCCATTCCATTCCATTCCATCCATTCATTCATTCACTCACTCACTCACTCACTGACTCATTCATTCATTCATTCATTCATTCATTCATTCATTCATTCATTCATTCATTCATTCATTCATTCATTCATTTGTTCATTCGTTTATTCGTTTATTCGTTCATTCGTTCGTTCATTCGTTCATTCGTTCATTCATTCATTGATTCATTCATTGATTCGTTCATTGATTCGTTCATTCATCCATTCGTTAGTTCGTTCGTTCATTCGTTCATTCATTCATTGATTCATTCATTGATTATCAATCATTGATTCGTTCATTCATTCATTCATTCATTCATTCATTCATTCGTTCGTTCGTTCGTTCGTTCGTTCGTTCGTTGATTCGTTCATTCGTTCATTCGTTCATTCATTGATTCATTCATTCATTCATTCATTCATTCATTTATTCGTTCGTTCGTTCATTCATTCATTCATTCATTCATTCATTCGTTCGTTTGTTCATTCATTCATTCATTCATTCGTTCGTTGATTCATTCATTCATTCGTTCGTTCGTTCGTTCGTTCATTCATTCATTCGTTCGTTTGTTCGTTCGTTCGTTCGTTTGTTCATTCATTCATTCATTCATTCGTTCGTTCGTTCGTTCGTTCATGCATTTGTTCGTTCGTTCATTCATTCATTTCCTTTGTTTATTCAACGCACGATTGTTTCAACAGCTTTCTTTTGATTCCGCTTGAACTGGGCACGAAACGGGTTTGATTGCATCAACCCGGCAGGCTTCTGGATCGCTTTTTGCGAGCCAGGGGGCAATTGTGCGGTTCGCATGGGGCGGCGCCATTGCAGCTCCTGGATTTATCTCAGAACCACCTGTTGGTCACTCGGTCGGCACAGAACACCCGGTAGGCAATGGCGCGAGGTTTTTGGTTGGGCAAAATCCCGGGGGGGGGGGGGGTTGGGGTTCCAAACATTGTTTTGTGGTATGTGATATGTGGTCTGTGTTTGTGGTATGTGGTCGCTTCGCTTGCAACATTCTGGGACTTCAACCGTCCCCCTAGGCGGCTCCCAGCCAAACATGGGCACGTGGAGCCTGTTTGGGGAGGCTATTGGAACCCTCTACCTCGTTTCCCAGCCCTACCCAGTGATCGCTGCAACAAACCACTCAGGTCACCAGACACGCGGAGTACGGAGCTTTGGGCGCGTCGGGAGTTCCGGCAAAAGCTGAGCGCACTGGTGTCTTGGTGCAGCTGATATCCCGCGCACTTGCAGCTGGCTTGCCTCTGGAAGCTTGGCTGGTCTTTGGTTCGACCTGTTACCCTTGACTTTTTGTTTAGCGAATTTTTCATCTCTCCGAGCCTGGTGAATAGAGCTGGCCCGTTTGGGCATCTAGAGTCTGTAGTCACACCATAGTGCTTATAGGTTTTAACACGTTGTTTTCGGCAAACTACTTTTTGGCCTCTTGCTATCAAACAGTCCAACCGTTTGCGGAGGGTCAGTTCGCTGAACCGAGGAAGTGCTGCGATTGCAACATTTGCAATTGAAAGATAGCGACCTGATCCCGCTGCTGAGGTCTTTTGGCCGCACTTTGGCATGACATCCAAGCTTTTCCCAGCTGTTGCACATATGGCTATGGGTCAAAATTAAACCACCAGGGGACCGCAGGTTTTAGTCCGTGTTTCCATTTGCCAGGGCAACCCATTTTGGGTACCTTTTTTTGACCCACAGCCATATGACTCCATCAAAGAGGAAAACTGTTTGCAGGTCGAGCCGCTAAGGTTTCTCCACGCCGAAGCTGGCAAAGTTCCCAGCGGCAACGGTATTTGGACCCTGCGGCACATCGAGCTCTCCGGGAATTCGGTGTCCAGCCAAGTGCAGCAGGACATCTCCGACGCCATTGCCCTGCTGCAGTTCCTGCATTCGCAGGAGGGAGAACCCATTAAACCACTAGCTTGGGCAATTTTCAGGATGTCAAAAAATGGGCCAAGATAAAGGCGTGGTGGAAAGTCCAGGATAAAAGGGCAAGCTACTTTCTGTGAGAGGGAATCCTGTTTGTGATCAAGTTTGACAAAGTAATCATGGTGGAAGTTTGTGGCAGGAGCGGCCGAGCCTCGGCTCGCGCAAGCGCGAGCCCGAGCAAGCGCCTGCCTTGCAAAAGGCGTGCTCGGAGCCTTGTGAGTCTCCAGATCGCGCGCACGATGTCGTCGATACCTTGAGCGATAGTGAGTGCACAAGAGACCCAAGAGGATCGCGAGGGTCGGTGCTGAACCGAAGGCAGGACGTCCAAAGCTTCAAGCTTGATGCTGCTTGTTTGCAGGAAGCAAAGAGGTGCACGGCACAACTGGAGCACACCTTCGTGGATGAAGTTACAGCGCCAACGTCCACAGCTCATTCTCTTGGGGTGAGGCAAGTCTTGCTGGATTTGTTGCAAGGCAACAACGACTGGGCAAGAGCCAAGGCGGAAGCTAACTTCACCAGTACGGATAGTCCAGAGTTTATGGATGACAGCATCCGGGCCAGCCACACCACCGGCTTGTCCGATGCTTTCTTCCTGGACTTGCCGGCTCTGCCGTCGCCGGAGCCGCCGGAGCCGCCGGAGCCGAGCGCGTCAGAGGCGGAGACGCCCAAAGGCCCGGAGTTTGGGGCTTTGGATGAGCTTGGCGCCAGGCTGGGATCTGCTTCTCAGCTCCCGCTGGAAACTTGGCCAACTGGACCTTTGCAAGACATGCACAGGGAAGCCATCAACGACCTTTGTGGCCGGAGGTTGAATTGGCTTGAGAAAAGAGCGCGAGTGACATTTTCTGTCGGCATGAGCTCTTGGCAGTACAGATGAAGTCTCTCTGGACACCCCTTTTGAGCCAATGCCACCACACACACACACACACATGGATGTGTTTTTGAGGCTACCCTTTTGGGGGTGGTTGAACCGGGAAACTGCAGGACACATGCCATTTTTGGGGTACCCTTAATTTCAGACATACCCATATATTTACGGTCATTTGCGCGGGGTCACCACATGCGGAAGCTAACATGGCCGACCAAAACAAAGACAAAAGGTTGATTTGTGTTGAAAGGTGGGATCTACCTAAAAGTCAGCACGGGCAGCAGCTTGTTTTTCTTGAGCCATTGTCATGTCGGTATGCCATTACCTATCAACACCCCCCGCTTTGCAGAGGTGCGTTGGTGAGAACAGTACTTTGTACACGTTTCTCCCCCCCATGCCTGAAGCAAAGTCCTCTGAGGTCAAGGCAGTGAAGACGTAGAGCCTCAGTGGGATAGGTGGCAAGCCATGGTGATATGAGGCCTCATGCGTCAATGGCCGCTGCAACTGCGATGCATTTGGACTTTTGCAGGAGCGTGCCATCCGAATCGGCCGACCACGACTTCCGTCGGGCAAAACACATGTGATTTCCATGTGAATGCTTGAAACTGAATTCACACTGTTGCCATCAGCGAAGGTGATCTCACGACCACAGCTTCCGCTGGGCAAGACTGAAATGACATCCGGTGGTGGCGGTCGTGGATTGACCTACGGCCGCAGCTTCCGCCGGGCGTGCAAACTTAGCACTGCTAATGTTGCGGCATAGATGGATGAAAAATAATAGTTTTGAACATGACATCACCAATGAAATTGAAATGGTCATCGCAACATAAGCAAACTTTTGTAATTGATGCGGGTGCTCACCATCCCCACGGGCCCTGACGCCATTGATGCCATCCAGAGGACCACCCGTACCAAGAGCTCCAGTCCTGACGCCCCGTGCTCTTGCCTTTGCCCTTGCCCTTTCCTTTGGTGTAGGGCTCGGGGCGAATGGACCGGGTGATCGCCCTCCACTGGGTGTTCCTCGCCTCAACAGGATAGGTCCGCGTCCGGCCGGAGGAAAACCGCGGGATTTCGAGTTCACCGGTGCTGATGGTGCCCTGGGAGTCGAACTTGATCCAGGAGGCCCGAATGAAACTGACCATGACCTCCACAATCTTTTCGACGTTCCCTTCCGGGACGTATGAACCGCTGTGCCCGATGATAATCGGCACCTGGTTGCCCGGAATGAAGCGATAGGCACACATGACCGCAAACTGCATGATGCTGTAAAACCTCGCATGGTGTGCAATGAAAGCCTCCGTGGAAACGTTCAACTCATGGGGATCGCGTTTGTTGAGGCTGGGGATGAACACCAACTTCGTTCCGGTGTTCTGGGATCCGCCTCGCTCGCGTTCCTCCCTGGTACGGCCTGGGTCAGCAACAACCGCTCGGGCAATCCGGCCAAGGAAGTCAAGGCTCTCTGGGGTTAGCCCTTGCGTGGCGCAGTTGTATGCGTAGAATGGATCGACCGAGAGCCGGTCAGATACCTTCTCGCATCCCATCGTCAACGCCTTGGTTAGGTGCGTTTTGGCCGTCTTCCTGAGTGACGCTTCGACGGAGATTCCTCCCCGCTTCTCGCCTTCCTTGAAGTGATGCTTGGAACGGATCCACTTCCCTCCGCCGCCTTGCAAATCCTCCAGGTAGAAAACCATGCCCTGGAGGGATGCTGTGTGCTCGAGGCGCACCACCTCAGTGGCGATGCGTGCGTCCGTCCAAGACACCATGTCTGACCGGCACTCCTGACACAACAGGTAGCCGTCGATCTGTTGGTTGTTGCACCTCCTGTTCCAGCATTTCACGACCGGTACCTTCATCATGGTCGTGAATAGGAGGTCCTCCCAACGTGGCTCACTCTGGTAGCGGTTCCGGAGGTTGTTCCAGCCGCGACCATGCCCTTTCTCTCCCCTGGAGAGCTCGGGCACCCGTCGAAGGGTTGCAGGCGCAACCTGATATGTCGGGCCTGCAGGTCTCTCATTCGACTTCCCCTTCCGGGGAGCGAGCTCATCGACCGTCTCAATCTCGGTCACGGCACAATTTGCCGTTCTTCGTCCCCTCCACGACGGTCCGCCAATGCCTCCAGGCCTTCTCTGCGGTCAGGGTGTTTTCACTTCTGAAGAAGTTCGGATTGACGTCCTGAGGCCCAGGCGCAAGCTCGGTTGTCAGCGCCTCGCGATACCTTTTGCGAAGCTCCGGGTACGCACGATTGAAGTAGAGGAACTCATTCTTGCGGGTATGGAAAGCGTAAATAATATAGGCATTCCCAACCCAATCTGCAGACATAAACGCCTCATCGCTCGTGAAGAGTCGAATGCCGTCTTGCATCATGAGCTCAGTATCAAAAGCAATCGTGACGGGCCTTCCGGCTTGCGTTCCTGCCAGCTTCCTCATCTGCGCCTCCCAGGGTGGCGTGGGGTTGAAGTAGACGTGGGCTCTGCCAGTCGACTTCGGTCGCAGGTGTGGTAAAGGACTGCCGGAAAGCCTCGGCGCCACAGGTCAGTAAGTTCCGGATGCCGCACAGCCCTCGGGTAGTGGCCGTCAAGGTATTTCGCCGCGGTGAACTCCTCGTCGAAGGAATACAAACTTGTCAGGATCGCCTGCTCAGTGTATTTCCTTGTGAGCTCGTTGTGGTGTCCTTGCACGGCCCTCACTCGCAAAGCCTGATACGGCAATCCTTTCCAGGATGCTTCCCCCAATGGAGGGGGCCCAACCATCACGCGGAATCTGCGGGTGTTATTGTTCCGGATGCAGATCATCACCTCCCAAGGCATGACATTGGCAATCCGGTCATTCAGATGCCTAACCAGCGCATCGAATTCCACCGACAGGTCAATTCCGCGAAACGGCGGGTGGGGCTTGCCGTCCTTGAATGCCCCTCCCCGGAGGAAATAGGACATTTTCTTCGAAATTGCGACCAGTCGGTAGTCGCGGTCCATGTTGACCTTCGGGACGTGCCACATGTCCTCGACCTCGAGCCACTCGCTCTGCTCCTCGGCCGGGACGTTGGTATTGATCTTCCGGGTCTTTGCCCAGTCTTCCCAGAAGATCTTCTCTTGCTTAGGGTCCTTCTGCTTTTTCGACCGGGGTTCCCCCTCGGCGTTGCCTGGCGGCGCCTTGGCCTTCGCAATCCTCGGCATCGCCTTCACTTGGGGCTTGTCGGTCGAGCCTGCAGCCGTGGGGTCCGACTCGTCTCCAATCTCAATGAAACCAGTCGACTGGGGTTCCCCCACAGCGTTCTTGGCAGCAGATCCGCGCCTTGACGGCGGCGGTGTTGGCGGTTGCTTGGATGTGCTGGTGCCCTCCGTCACGGACTCAAAAGTGACCGACTCCGCGGTGATCATGGAACTCATCCCTGCCGCCTCGGAATCATCAGCTTCTGACACCATTTCCAATGATACCACCGTTTCCTGATCGAACAAGTCTCCTTCCGCGATGATAATCGACTGGCCTTCCGGCGCAGCACGGTGCACTCCTGGGGGCAGATTCGTCGCATCCCATCCAAAGTCATGGGTGTCATCGCCCAGCAAGAGCCACTTGTCTTTGTCCTCGTCGTCGGGGATCTTGGACAAGCCGTGTTTCTCCGCCGTACTGTCGATGTAGTGGGACATCGCGAGTTCCACTCGGTCAAGCTCGTCGTCGGAGTTTTCCTCACCTTTGTCGACGGCTTCAAGCACGATGTCGGATTCCTCGACCTTTGCCCCCCGCATGTCGATGGTTATGGCGTTATAGGACTCATCCTCCGCCACCTTCATCCATGCGGCCACATCGGCGTCGATTTCGTCGCCCTCCTGGTCGTGGGACCAGTCGGGCTTCTCTTCCATCGCCGCGTACTCGTGGAGCGCTTTGGCCAGCTTCAAGCATGTTGGCCAGCCAAAGAGCACCGGGTCGACCGGTTCACCTGCCACGTAGGGCTCAACCCTCCCAATGGCTGGGAGAGCGTATCTGATACGCTGGGCCAACAGCTGCGTGTTGATAGCCGCGTGAAGGAATTTCGACACAACCTTCCGGTTGGCATTGCTGTATGTCATGTGCACATCATCGTACCTGTGAGCTAGCAATGTCATAACCGATGGGTCGATCGAGTCGATCGCCTTGATGCGGGTCCCATCGTCGATGTCCCCGTTGGCCAGGTGTCGAAGGCAGCTGTTCATAGCCTCGTTGTAATCGGACGTGAGGGCATAGTCCTCGGCGTCCGGGTTGCTGATGAAGGTAATGTCTCGAATGCGTCCGAGTCCAACCGCCTCCTTGAAGAAGTCGAGCTGCTCGTACACGCGAGTCTTCTGAACCGTCGGCCACTCTGACGCGGCCTTCCGGCCCGCCTCCGTTCGGTTAAACCTTTTCTCATGGATCCATCTGCACCCCACGAAACCATAGTTGCCGAAGACATCGTTTCCTCCCCACAACACGTAAACCGAAATGGGAAGCTGTTTGATGCCCTTCTGGGAGTTGTCCTCGGCGATGAATCGCACTTTGGCCTCCATGGTGCTGTAGATAGCCTCAAGCCCCTTACCCCAATCCATGCCGTGGTAAATGTTGCGGACCCCCTTCAGCTGTTCGGCCTGAAGCAGCTCCGCCACATGGTGCTTGGTCGGGTATTTGTTGTTCGGCTCTTCGACCATGGCACAGGAAGAGTCTCCAATGACCAAAATGTCGACCACCTCTTCCGAGGGGCATGGCACGGCGCGAAACTCCGCAGGGGCGTTGCGCCCTAGGACCTGGATCAAGTCCCAATATGCCATCTCTGAGTTGCTCCCGGCTAGGGTTCCCCCCAGCATCACTCCCGGTGCCTGTTCCTGCGATGCGATAGTCCGCGTCACCGTGTCCGGCTCCGGGATGGTCGCAATCGCTGCCTGCGTTTGGAATTGCTTCATCAGCTTGTCCCATTCCACCAAATTGTAGATGGTACCCTGAATGTCGAGC